TAATGATTCTATGATTCTATGATTTCACTTCTCACATATAGGTATGCCTATGCCTACCTTTAAAGTTTTTTCTCCAGTGTTACAGTGTTGTAATTATTTCCAATTTTTATAAGCCTACATGAGTCTTCTTCGTGCTGAGGAGTTTATGTCATGAAGTTAATGTACAATGTAATCCAGTTTTTTCATTGTTCTCTACAGACAGTGTACATTTTGGGCTGTTTATTTTTGTAATTTTTCTAATTAATGAAAAATAGAATTTAAAAGTTAATTCAATATACTATATCAGATTTTTTTTCCCTGAAAGAGCTCTGTGAAACACTGTGCATGTCATTTTCTAATAGCAGTATACAGACTTGTGATTATATGAACTTTTACCTCGACACAAGTTTTCATCCCTGAGGCAGCAGCATAGTGCAAAGGTGTATTTTTTTTGTTATCAACAGCATCAATGGCTGCTCGTTCATATTGTCCTTCATCCAGCTTTGCTCCCTTCCACTTCAGGATCATTTGCAGACAATCTGCTCTTCTGCAGTCGTCCTCTGAGGGTCGTGTCAGGCGAGGATGAAGAGCTCCTTCCGAGATCATGATCTGAGGTCCCATACACAGTAAGTGCATAGATGTCTCATTGTGCACATTCCGTTTATTTGGGTTACCATCTCTAACAAAAAGGAAAGTTCTGCAAGGGGGGAAAAAAATAGAAGAAAAATAATTAGTACACAATTCCACTCATTTCCTTGAAGTGGGAAGGGCCTATTATGACAGCTCTCTTTTCTTGCCAAAATTTTGATTAGCCATGTTAGCGATAAACATTCTTAATAGATAATTACTGTTGGACAGCTCTCCTCCATTTCTCTTAGGCGTCAAGAGCCAAGATCTGGATGAATTACTGAAATATCATTAAACACCATAATTACTTTGTCAGTGTGTGACAAATTTTACTTGGCAAAGTTTATTCTACAATTCTGTGTTGTATTGCGATAAATGTTATTAAGTCACAAGACTGATGAAATAGGTACTTTCTTTTTCCTACTCTGTGTCCTGAATAGTAGTGCGTTTGGTAGTTTGCAAATAGATAATGCCAGAGCAATTTCTTAAAATTTCATTCTTCTTTCCCATATCTTTAGTCAGATGCCAATGCAGTACTTACTACTTCTTGAAAATATATGAAATACTTTTCCTGTTAGCACTGCATGTATTGAGGGAAGACTCTATTTGCTTTCCCACTCTAGAATATATGGAGGTGCAATCTAAAGCAAACCCTCGCTTATGCAGATGACAGAGGCTGGCAGGAATTTAAGTCTTCTCTTGAACGCTTTAGAGGCAGTTCTAAGTGGACAATAAACTATACTGGCAAAAAGTATCAGCTTAGGAATGAAAGGGAAACAACAGACTGATTCCAGGAATCACAGCTCTGACTCCTGACAGCTCCTGAGACAATGCAGCTCTCTCTTGCTTCTTGCCAGCAAGGAATTATAGAAATTACAGTCCAGTTCTGAAATGGAGGAACTTAGACATATCATACAAAGCCTGTGAATCCAAACTTGCTTTAGCCTTTTGTGGTATACTAATTTATTATTTTTTTTCCTTAATGAAGAGTGAACAGTAGGAAATGGCAGAGAAGAAAGATTGTCTCTTTGTAGGACTGGGGTTAGAGAGACAGCAACGGTGAAAGAACTCCGTGTGAAGGTAGGAAGGACAGTTCCCAGAGAGGTAATACCAGGCTAAATCAGAAGCATGGCATGTACGTTCAAGAAGTCACTGCAGAAACACTTGCGCTGTCCTCATAAGCACCCTCACACATAAAACCAGCAGAACTCACTGTTCATCTGCTCTCCAGGCTGTTTCCTGACTCTAAACAGTTTGCAAGCATGAAAAAAGTTATTCTAGAATCCTCATTAAGTCAATACAGGGGACCAGCTTCCACCCTCTCTGCCCTCCTCCCAAAGACTAATTAAAAACAGTTTCAATCCCTTTCAGCTTAAAACAGGCCGCTTAGCCACCTGAAGGTGGGCACTGCCTAAATACAAAATCAGACCATATTGCTCTTGATGAACTGTGGAGAGCAGAAGAACCTGGTAACCAAATTGAGAAAAGAAAACATTATTTACCTCAGTTATTGCCTTATGCTATGGTTACAAGTCTAAATGCCACCTCCCCTTTCTGTTGTCCCTGAATACATCCCACCAGGCACTACATGGTATGCCTTTCTCTCTCTTTGAGTTCTCCCATGCTTTGCTCAGGATAAAAAATAATACTGAAACTATTTTATTAATAAAAGAAGACGCTACACAGGGTGGGTGTGTAATTTCCCTTTTGGAAATTATGGAAAACAGACTGGACAAGTATTCCAGTTGAAAAAAACTAGGCACAGCTGATCTGGTCCTACGATGAAAAGATGTCTTGATGATAGTCATTTGGTCAGCCGTATTTCTGTCCTTTCTTCCCTCTGAAAATCTCTGAACAGTTCGAGTTCAAAATGAAACTTATTATTAAAATACTGTTCTATTAAATAAGTGGTAACAAAGTATTCAGAGGAAAAGAAAAGCAAAACAGTCTCCTCTATGTTGCCCTATTTTGGCAGCAAATGTTACTTAGAGAAATCTCTCTTTTATTCCATGATAGCTGATACGATAGATGCTTTTATTAGGAAATATGAACATGCCAAACTTGAGAGTAAAGATGTTGCCAAAAAAGTGACAGCATGTTTTATTTTGTGTACTTGGGATTTTTTCTTGTTTTCAGAGGAAAGGGATTTAGCAATACAGGCACAATGCTTCACAGACAATTACTTGAAATGGTAAGACCAACCAGTATCAAACACTATCCAAAATGAGTTTGCTTGTTTGAATTAGCTTTACATAGCATGAAACTAGAGACAGAAGGGACGGAGAAGGGACGGAGATGGGAGGGAGGGAGGGAAGAACAAAGGAAGGAAGGAAGGGAAGGAGGGAGGGAGGGGGGAGAAAAACATAACTCACTGGGGGACGAGGAGATGAATTCTATAGAGGCACTTAGGTATGAGAATGCTAGATGCCTTAGGTATGAGGTTTTGCAGGTACCCACTGCAAAACCTGGATGTAGAAAATACAAGGCTAAATCTAAGTCATCTTAGGTTCTGTTTGTAACTTTGGAGACTCACTAAAATCTGAGTTTCTCTACTTTTGTAATGAAACGTTTTATGGTACACCAGTATCTTCTCTTCTGCCAACTCCCTTTCACAATTTCATTTGTTATATTTTTACTTCAAGTAAATATCACTCCCAACTTAGCCTTTCATGCATTTGTAAACTGCAGTATGAACAGAAAAATGTAAAGTTGTTCATTTTTCAATTCAGAGTCCTTAAGTCAAGAATAAACAAAGAAGTTTTAAAAATTTTATTATTCCTTCCTCCTCCTACCCATGGCATTTACTATCCATATGTCTCCTAATGTTCCATCTCCAAAATCTTGCATCTTCCTTAAAAAAAAAATCCAAAGAGATCACAGCACTGGGAAGAAAGAGGCAGCGGCTAAAGACTGTAAAAGAATTCATGTGTGCTTCCTCTTCCAGCAGTTTTCAAAAGTAGGTAACACTGATGTTCAAGATAGCAGGCCTAGCTATTTTTACCTGATGTCTGTAACACAAAGTTTGTAAAGGTAGTAGGCACCTGTTACCTTCAAATTTACTGTGGAATAAGTAGAGAAGAAAGGGTGATAAAGAAGGGGCCAGATCCCTTCTGCAATCACTACAGTGGACTGCGGTATGGCAGCAAAAGTACCAGTTTTTCAAATGCAGAAGCATTCAACAGGAATCCCTGAGGACGCACAACTGAGGAAGTATCGAGACTAAAGGCTTCAAGTGGCACAAAGCCAAAGTACCAAGCTCACGGTATGAATCTAACAGAAACAATTCAGTATTGCAAAGAGGGTGGACTTTGTCTTTCACATCAAGTGCCTGAACTCTATTTCAAAGTTTGCACTTACACTGTATAACATGCTGGATGGCTGCGCTAATTAGACTTGCATATTTTGAATGTCAGGAGAGTCCTTTGGGTATTCGTTAACCACATCTTTTCCTCCCATTTTGAGGTGCTTTACATCCAACGTACTGATTCCTGCTACTTCTCTAATTCAAAGTAAAAAGCTACTTTAAAATTCAGTGAAGCACTGTCCATGGTTTCTGATGACACTGAACCAGGGTTTGAGTTTTTTTAATTGCAAGAACCTTCACCATCTCCTCCCAAACCAGATGAGGTTTCTCTAGTGTCTTTAACTATCTAAGCATTACCTTCTAAGCTTGATAATATTCTAAGATAGATCTCTGTTTTCAATATTTAGCTCTTTATCATCAATGGAATTCCATGCTGTGGTACTTGCAAGCATGTGATTCACTCCCGAACCAGGTTACAGTGCATCTGGTATCAGAATAGCACAATGTTTTTGTGGTGACACATGAAGGCCATAAATCAGACACTTTTTCTTACCAAACAGTATTTTACACACAAACAAAAATATTCATAACCTCTGCTAACATAATAGCAAGGTTAACTGAATCGTATCAATTAAAGAGACCATCCTGCCTACATTCATCTCCTTCCCTTTATTTTTTAAAACCTTAGTATACTGTTCCCAACAACTCTGCTGAAATTCTCTTTAATAATCCCAAGCTATGGTGATTTCATCCCTATTTGACTGACTATATGCTGTAACCTATTAGTTTTCCATTACTAAGATTTATGTAAGTTTATAGAAGAACGTTTGTAAAAGACACAAATGCTGAATGGATACAAATGCCCTGCCATAGCTCAAGGTAGATATTTCACCTTATCCTTAACGGTTCAGTGATGAGGTGGTTCTGCCCTAGGATGAAACTCTGTGCATAAAAATAGAATTTGAAGGCTGTCAAACCAGTATGCCTTTTTGAACCCAAAATTTCTCCCTAAGAGTTAAACAATAGTTTAAAACATAGCTTTACTAGTGAGTAACTATTACTATAAATTTTTTCCACCATAAAATTAAACTCTTGGGAAAAAAACAATAAAACTCTTGCTTTAAGAAGTTATGTATACCCTAATCTAAAATGAGAAGTGCTTATGTCCTGCCTGCTTGCAGATTGTCTGTTCTAATACAAATAGAAAGGCATTTTTCTATATTAAACAAATAATGAAAAGCTCTAGGATGGATTTAAATCTTTTAAAGTGTCATTGCATTGTTTTACTATCACTTCATACCACAAACAATATCCCTACTCAAATAAGTCTATCAGCAAGGTAGATTTTCAAGCCCTGCAGCAAGAAGTATCTGCAGATCTTTTTTTCAAGAGAGAAATCCAAAAAACCTCCCTAGAAGGCTATTCCCTTACCTAAGCTCAACATTTGCCCTTCTGTCAAAGTTATCTGCTAAAAAATTGTCCAAACATCTCTAAATATGTTGAAAACTTCAGTAAGAACCATTTGCGAATTTTCGAGAACAATTTTGTGGCATTTGTAAAAAACTGGGGAAAAGCTCGGTTTGATTACTTGTTCTCGTCGCTTGTCACTCAACTTCTGAATCTCATAAATGGGTGTGACAAACACCAGAGTAGCCAAAAGCAACCAGCACCTCACTCTGGACACATAAATGAGCTTCAAAGTGCCACAGTATTCTCCCTTTTTCCCTCCTTAATCTCTTCCAAAACTCAAAAGATCAGTTCTTCAA